TGTTACCAGAGCTTTTGGCTTTTTTTTCCTGTATGTCCTGGAAATTCCCTCACACTCACCCCAAGGAAGGTTTGTCACCTCTTGAGTAACCTTGTATGGGATTTGAGCTAATTTGTAATCCCAGGTATCTTTTGCCCATAATATCAGTAGTTCTTAAACTTTGGGTCATAATAATCGTTAGGGGAATCTATTAAAATACAGGATATCAGGCCAGGCGCGGTGACTCATGCCTGTAATCCTAGCACTCTGGGAGGCCGAGGTGGGAGGATCACTTGAGTTCAGGAGTTCAAGACTAGCCTGAGCAAGATTGAGACGCCATCTCTACCAAAAATACAAAAATTACCGGGCATGTTGGTGTGCGCCTTATGGTCCCAGCTACTCGAGCGGCTGAGGCAGGAGGATCTCTTGAGGCCAGGAGTTGAAGGTTGCAGTGAGCTATGGTGACACTACTGCACTCTAGCCAGGGCAACAGAGCGCATCTCAAAAATAATAATACTAGTAATAATAATAAATAAAATAGAGGATATCAGAGATTCAAGTCAGATCTAAAGAGTCAGAACTTCTGGAGGTGATGTTCAGACAAATGTATAATTAAATGCCTCCTTTTGGAATTCTGTTAAATATCACAGCTTGGGAACCACTCACAAACAAATTGCACATTTCTATCAACCAATATACGTAGTTTTGTGGCTATAGAATATCAGGATAAAAGTGACATTTGGAGTCCATTCTTTTCTAAGGCTGTGTGCATAGTGCTGTACTGTGGAAGTAGAAACAGCAGGCTGGATTTTGCCAACAGAGATGCATTTGAATGACAAGGCCTATTGGAATGGTAACAATACAAATGCAAAGGATAGGGACTGATCTAAGAAAACTTGCTATAGAAGAATTGGCCTGACCCAGTGATTCCCAGAATGTAGAAACAAAAAGATAGTAAAGGAGTTGAAAATTACTTCAAGGGTCTGAGAAGATAGGGGTATTGCAAAAATGGCTATGACAGAAATTATTCAATAAATAAATATTGATTATAGCACTGGGTGCGGTGATAGGCTACAAAGGTAAGAACACATAGTTAAATTTACTTCACAGATATTTATCAAGTATGTACTTACTATGTGCACAGCATTTTCCTACAGTGTACCAAGGCATGGTTTCCAAATTTGGATTTATATCAGATTTAGCTGGGGATATTTAAAAAAATAACGTTCCTGGACCCTGCGTTAGCTCTACTGAATTTAAATATCTGGGGGTGGGTGGAAATCTCTAATGTGTAAAGCTCTCCAAGTAGATTCTATACCCAGTCAATGGGCCAGTATTTGGGAATCACTATTTCAGAGACCGCAAAAATGAGGGAGGCATAGTGTTTGTTTTTAACGAATACACAAACTGGCATGGCAAGCTCTATGCTGTATCAACTGTCCTGGCTTTGTCTTATATTCCTGGCTTCCAAATGGTCCCCTTTGCATTCCCACGTCCACCTCTTTAGCCCACCCTTTTAACTAATCTCTTATGCCCCCTCTGCACTCCTACTTCAATTTATTCTTTATGGTTCTATTAATTTTGCATATTTCAATTACAACTATTTTTCATCTTAAAAAATAAATGCTAGTATTTCCCCATTACCTACAAAGTTAGGGATAGAATGCTCCAGGTTGGCATTCAAAATTCTCTACTGTATCAGTTAGGCTTCCTTCAACTGTAAGCAACTGAACCAATTCTGGCTAATTTAATCAGAAAAAGATATGGACTAGTTCACAAAATCAAAGTTCAATCATTTACAATTTTTGTATGATTCCTTCTTAAAATTCTCATTTTTAGGGAGTGTCCGATGCAACATATTTCCAACTCATATCAATAGGAAGACCCAAGACATTGACTGAAAGACAACCTATAATTATGCTCACTGGGGAAAGAGAGTTCTTTCAAAGCAAATTTGGGGTGCTGTTACCAAAAGGAGAAATGAATGTTAAGGAGGAAAACCAAGAAATGCCCACTACATCCAAATAGAGCCCCAATCCAATTGAAGTAAAACTGGATACAGTGGAGAGAAATTCTGTGCTTTCTTTTCTGAGACATCAGAGATCAAAATGGGGAAATTAACCAAGGGACCTAATACTTGATCATGTCAATGTACTCAGTGTTGCGGGAGAAGGCTAGTGGTTTGAAGTAAATGTTTTAAACAATGTGTGGAATGATTCCAGAAGTCATTGTGAGTCATAAGGATAAAGATAACCTATTTTCCTTTTTTCTGTAATCAACCAATTTCCACATAATTACAATGTTCTTCACAAAACATTGTATAGTATTTTTTGAAAAATAAATTAACCACCGTAATACAGGAACAGCCAGAATTTTATTGGGGAGAAAGTCAGTAGGGTTAACAGCAACTTCTGTAACTTTAGGAGGGTAACAAGTCTTCCACTTCCAAATTCAAGAAAGGTGCAATAATCTCCCGTAGCTCCCACATTATGCGGCGCCCAAGCATTCTAGGGAGCACCCTTTCAAAGACAAAGGTAGCATCAAAAAACACTATGTAGCATGCAAGTCCAGTGAACATAAGGACGTAAAACATGATGAAAATCCTTAGTGCACATTTCCTACAAGAAAGAAAACACCTGTGTTGAGAAAACAAGATAACATTGATAGGACCCCAGCTCTTCTACCCAGGTAGCCCAAAAACTTCAACTAAGTAATTGAGTTTCTCTTGACTTCAGTTTACATCTGTGAAGGAAGAAGCTTGGAGTAGAGGTGCAGGTTTAGTCCATGCTAGGGCTGGCATAGGAATTCCAAGACTCTACATCCATGAAACAATGAAACCCCTGGGGGTTGTGGGGCCCATTTTCCTTTGAAATGCCCTTCTCTCATTCTAGCAGGTTAGTGCAATCTTTACCTCACTTGTGAAGTATATGATGCCTGTTTTGAGGCAAATAAAGGCACAGGCAGTTAGATTTTCCCTGGATACAAAATATAATGTGATAAATGGAATTCAGCTAGCTTTTGTCCTGCCACCAGACTTTTTTTTTTCTTTTAGTAAAGTAATATAAGCTTTTTCAAATCCTTGAAGATTCCTCCTTCTGGGCTGTACCTATAGTATATTTTATTTATTTGCTTCTAAGTCCTTGCATTATTATTTTCTACTTATAAATGCCATATATGATTAGGGTAGAAAATCTGGAAAATTTTGAAAAACACAAAGAAGAAAAGAAATGTCACAGATAATCCAATTAACCCAGGTAATTACCATTTATAATACATTTCAGAAGAGAAACTCTAGAGCATAGCTAAAGTTAGCTATGGATCTATTTTGTGACCTAACTCAGTGGATTCTATAAACCTGAACCACGTTTCTTGCCATTATCCCCACTGGCTAATTCTTGGCAGTTACACAAATAATTGCTTTTAATTTACACATTTATCAAAGAGCCAATGTTCTTAAGATATGCTATTAGGAAGGGGCTTAGAGGGCTGCCAACATGAAGTAGAGATGTCCTGCCCTTGAGGAGCACTAAATCTAGATTTGTTCTTCCTTATGAAAAGAAAAACAACTCACTACCAAAACATATCTAATAAATAAACACTATTCTTCTTAAAGTAAAAAAAAAAAAACGGTCATTTTTTGGAAACAGTAAACTATAACATTTTCAAAGAAATACATTTTACCATTAAGTTTTCAAGTGAAAAACAATTTTTCTAAATCACAGATTATTTGGAAAAC